AACACTTGTATCTTTTTATCAGAAACATTTCTCTATATATATATATATATATATATATATATATATATATATATATATATATATATATATATATATCTTAAGGCCGTAGGCTACAAAAGATTTTTGTCTTCTCTCGAACGTACTTCAGGATGTAAGATTCCGCACCAAAATTTCGTGCGAGGAAGGCTGCTTATGTTATTTACAACGCTCAATAAATCTTTAATAGAATTATAGAAAGCTTTGGTACACCATTACTCGCTTGTTTAAATCAGCTTCAATAGCTTTAACATTTTGTCGATCGTCATTCTCCAAAGCAGCCTTTACGGCTTCGTAAATACTAACAGACATGGCTAGTATTAGTTCAGAATTTCTGATAGTAAATCTTCCCATTGAACTTTAATAATTTGCGGTCAAGCACAAAGTAGCGATCAGAAAGAGCCAGAAACGTCATGGACCTTTCCGTGCACTAATAAAGCCTGAACGGTATGATCGATCAAAAAAATCCAGCCAATGAGAATTCAGAATTGTTTTGAGTTAGCCAAACAGATTGCCTGTATTCGAACCCCTGATCGCTTCAGCGATCAGAACTCCCCACAGATCGCGCAAAAATTGAGATAGCCAATCAGATGGCTGGAATCTGACTCAGAGCGTGCAAAACTCATGCGTAAGACCGCTTTTCTGCGCGTTCTTGTTCGAAGGCCTTGCTACTGAATGATATTTCAAAACTGGACTGTTAAACTTTCAATACATTACACTGCGCGAAGTTTGATACCTGGACTGCTATTTTAATTTAACAATTTTCTATTTTTCTGGCCAATTTTTACCTTAGTCGCGTGATCGCTTTGATCACCCCTAGATCCGCCCCTGGTCTATTATTTGTTTAGCAATTTACATTTCAGTTGAGGATTGCGCTTTTTTTGATACACCCTGTATATATATTTACATTATATTTCATAATATGTATTTATAGATGAAGAGTGCGTAGTGGTCAAAGGAGCAGAAGCTTTCGAGTTGACCACTACCATTATGAGACTATATTTGAGTATTTAAAACTAAATTAAAAAAAAGTTGATCTCTATAGTATTTATTGCTAAGGTTTCTAAGTGTATAGTATAATTTACAAAACTTATTTTATATATGAGATTACTATAATATCATTTTTTTAATAACATATACAGTAAGTCTAGTCAAATCTGTCCTGTAACTCTACTTGACTATTAAGTAAAAACATTTTATACTGTTTTTTGAAACTATAAAATGGTAAAGATTTAATCTGTATAGGAATTTTTTCCCATATTTTGGAAGCTTTTGTTTTGAATCGGGTTAGCCCATAATTTGTTCTAGAAGCTGGTCTGTATAGATTCTGCTTGGAGGCATATCTGGTGTTATAACTATGAACATCAGATGCTTCAATAGTTAAATTTAATAAGGCTTTAGGAACTTCTGTTTTCCGAATTATTATTTTATAAACAAGAGATGATATTTTCAGGTTAAAGATATTTTCAAGTTTCAGTATTTCGAGAAGTTGAAAATAGGCCGTTACATTTTCGTTTGTTCTTGAGAAAAAGATTGCACAAAGACATTTGTTTTGTTTAGTTTTAATTTATCCAATCTAGTTGGACAGGCAGTGCCCCAACTCATGATACCGTAATTTAGGTAAGGATATATTAGTGTGTAGTAAAGTTGTTTTAGCATATGAATGGATACGAAATGTCTTAGTCTATTTATAATTCCAGTGTTCTTGGCTATTTTGTTTTGTATATGTTGCAGTTCATCATCCCATTGTAGATGTTCATCGATAAAAACACCCAAATACTTTATCTTCTTTTTTCTTTTTATGTCGCATGTTTTTATTGTTATATCACATTTTTTTCTTGGTGTGGTAATTAGCATGTAATTTGTTTTTTTAAAGTTGATAGAAAGCTTGTTATCATTGCAGTATTTCAGTACATGCTTTAATTCATCATTAATTGTTTTTTCTAGCTCATTTACGCTGTTTGAGGAATAGAAAATATTTGTATCATCAGCGAAAATTCTAAATAAAAAAAAAATTAAAAAAAAAAATATATTTTTTTTTTGAACAATTAGGTAAATCGTTGATATATAACAGGAGGAGTAGTGGTCCTAAAGTAGATCCCTGTGGGAACTATTTTCATACTAGATTCTGTTTCACCAATTTTAACGTATCGTTTGCAATCAGATATGTAGCTTGAAAACCATTTATTCGCCACTCCACGAATGCCATATAGGAATGTATTTTATTCAGTAGGATCTCGTGATTAATGGTGTCAAAAGCTTTCGAGAAATCTAGAAAGATTGCGCAAGTTATTTTGTTTTCGTCTATTGCTGTTTTCAAGTTTTCAATAGTTTCGAGAATTGCGTGTTCAGTCGAATGTCCTTTCCTAAAACCAAACTGATAATCAAAAAGTATCTTTTCTTTTTCGAGAAAGGCAAAAATTTGGTTTTATATAAGTCTTTCTAATACTTTACTAAAAGGAGAGATAATTGCAATTGGTCTATAGTTTCCCAATTCTGTTGTAACGCCACTTTTATAAACAGGAGTAACTCTTGAAATTTTGAATATTTCAGGAACTATTCCGGTTGATATTGATTCATTATATATCTTTACAAAGGGTTTACATAATAAGTGACTTGCAATTTTGATGCACGATATTGGAATGTTCATGTACGATTTATTTTCATCTAAGGAAGAAAATATTGCTGAAACTTGATTTTCTGTTACTGGGCTTAAATAAAAACTATTTGGTGGTGAAATATTTAAATATTGTGTAGAACTTGCTTGATTCGTAGGAAATTTTTTCGATAAGTTTGAACCTACATTTATAAAATAATTGTTGAATAACTCTGCAATATCGTTTTGATTCGTATGAGTCTTTCCATCATGCACAATTCTTGTCGGAGAAATTTGGTTTTTGCTCTTTCGTTTTATAAGATTGCCAATTATTTTCCAAGTTATTTTAAGATTATTTTTGTATTTTGTGAATTGGGATTGATAATAATCTTTTTTACTTTTCTGTTTGATAAATGTTAACATATTTGCATATCTTTTATATTCATTAATTTTGTGTGGAATTTTACTCAAAAAATGTGTGCGATACATTTTTTGTTTTTTATAATTGATTTGAAAATGCCGGCTGTAAGCCAGGGTTTGTTTAATTGCTTTTGCTTGGCTTGTGTCACGGTTTTTACTGGGCATGGTTATCTACAATTTTATTTAGAGTAGATATAGCATCTTGTGTCTTTTTATCTAAGCTTTTATTAGGTGTAAGAATTTCGTCCCAGCTTATCTGTTTTATATCATCTAAGAAACGCTGTTTGTTAAAATTGCAAAAGTCTCTGAATTTTCTTTTGTTGGTACTTTTATCTACTTGAGTTTTAACGATGCAAAATACTGGAAGGTGATCAGATATATCTACCTCGGTGTTAGTTTTGATATGGGCAAGTTAGTATAGATATGATCGATTAATGTCAAAGAATGATCAGTTATTCTAGTTGGTTTTGTTATGATAGGAATAAGACTGTTGTCAAAAAGCATATCTAAATACTTTTCTGTTTCCTCATGCTCATTACATTTCAAGAAATTTATGTTCATGTCACACCACAAATGTAAAGATCAAATTTATCAGGATTAATACTTTTAATAATTTTGTTTAATTCTATATTGAACGAGTTAAGATTACAACCTGGGTGTTTATAAATGCAGCCTATGATTATCCCTTTTTTATTTTTTCCAGCATCAATTTGGGCCCAACATGATTCAACTTTTTCTATTGAAAATTTTATGTCAGGTCTAGGTATAGATTTCAAGTTATTGGCAATATATAGTGTGGCACCACCTGCCTTTGTTTTTGAGTCAGTATGAAAGAAATTATAATTCTTGATATCTACATTGGAACATGTTTCTCCATGTAATTTTGTTTCAGTAATTCCTAGTACGTTTGGTGCATGCTCTAGGGAGTATAAGATATCTTCTAAAACGTTTAAAGTTTTTGGTAAACTTCTTATATTACAGTGTAGAGCGTCACGATCAATCTAGACGTGCCGTTCGATGCTCCGTAGAAATTGATTTCAAATCATCAATATGGGTTACAGTGAAGGAGATGAAAGACCTTTTTAAGAAAGAATTAACGCCAATCAACAATACTCTACAGCAATTAAGCTCTAATTTTGATGGATTAAAAGATTCGGTCAAGTTTCTCTCAGACAAATACGACGATTTACTTCGCGAACTGCACTCAATGAATGAAACATGATTTGCAAAGCAAGAATTTAAAGAAAGCTAGAGAAGAACTAAACGAGGCAAAACAACGTGTGGCAGAAGCAAAACAACAAGTCGAAGAACTTGCACAATATATAAGGCGTGACTGTGTGGAAATCGCTGGAATTCAACCTACAAGGGACCTATCATGTGAAGCAATAGTGAATTCAATTGGTGAAACAATTGGAGTTCCCATTACTGCCGACGACATATCAATCGCGCATCCAATACCATCGTATAATCAATCTGCAGCGCCTAAATTAATTGTAAAATTCACTCGAAGACAAGTACGGAATAAGTTTTATCAAGCCCGTAAGAAGCTTGCCTCTAAGAAAGCGAAAGATCTTCCTCGACTTGATCTCGAGTCCAATGCACGGGTATACATTTCTGAATCTCTGACCCCTTACAAGAAGAACTTATTTGGTCAGGTCAATAAACTCAAGAAGCGATTGAAATGGAAATACATTTGGACATATAATGGACGGATTTACCTCAAGCAAGACGAGAACAATGTCGTGCATACATTCGACACGCTGGAAGACTTCGATAAATTCCAATCAAGGAATCGCTCAACTAACAACTAAGTACCGTTTTATTGTTTTGTTGTGTGTATATATTTATATATATATATATATTAATGCATGATGGCGTACGATAGCAACGAATCTCATTTTTTATATGAACTACCCTGGGGCATGGGCATACTCCAATTCAACTACGAACTTAGGTTCAAAAGATTTATTCCAAGATATCATTGAATGCCCCGACAATAATAGAAACCTAGAGGAAGGTATATACAATGAAAATTTTGAATCCAAATATTATAATATCAAACAAACTGGATCCTTCTTCCGCAAGGCTAAAAAACAACATGCGTTTTCCATAATGCACTACAATATGCGCAGTTTGCAAAAAAATCTGTCTATACTACGAGATTTATTAGGTTTAATTAAAGAAATTCCTGACATCATAGCTATTTCAGAAACCAAGTTAAATGAAAATAATACATATAATATCAGTCTGCCCGGCTACGAATTTATACACACCAACTCGAAAACGTCTGCTGGAGGTGTAGGGTTCTATATTGCAAATGGCATAAACTATGTCCCAAGGCACGATTTAGAAATATCGATAGAGGGAGTCGAGTCCAGTATGTTTGAAATTATACACAAACGACAGAAGAATATTATTCTAGGATGTATTTATCGACATCCATCTAACGACCGTACTCAATTTCATGAGACGTTAGAGGCGACTTTGACGGAGCTAAATGGAAAGGGATATGAAGTGTTTTTACTTGGTGATATAAACATAAATTTTCTTAAGTACAATGTCGATGCATCGACATCTGAATATCTTGATATGCTATTTGGCAAAGGTTTTATGCCAATAATTACTAAAGCAACTCGCATAACAAATCATACATCGACTCTAATAGATCATATTTACACAAACGTGCCACAAAAAATACTTAAATCAGGTATATGCGTAGTCGATATAACTCATCATTTGCCAATGTTCTGCACTGTAGCAGAAAAGGTCTCGACAACTGTTGAAACACGATATTTTAGGGACTTTACTAACTTTAGGGAAGATTTGTTTCTCAAGGACGTAAGTGAAGAAAATATCAATTGTTTGGCCTGTGATGATGTGAATAGAAGCATGAATAAATTAGCGAGTATACTACAAAATATTACTGACAAGCATGTGCCAGTACGAAAAATACCATATAATAAAAGAAAGTTAATGAAAAACCCATGGATATCAAATGCGATTTTAATATCTATAAAGAAAAGACAAGCTTTTTAAATCACATTTTCTAAGTAAAAACCCCGACAAAATAAGATATTATAAATCATATAACAACAAGTTAAATAAGATTAAAGAAGTGGCCAAAACCAATTATTATAGAGCACAGTTTGAAAGAAACAAAGGAAACTTGAAAATGACATGGAAGTTAATCGGAACGATAGTCAATAGCCGTAAAGTATCTCACTCTTTTCCTGATATAAAACAGCTTATTATTGAACAAAAAAGCTATACAGATAAGGAAAGTATATGCGACAAACTTAACACTTATTTTTTTAAATGTTGGTCATAAGCTTGCTGAGGAACTCCCACAGGGAAATGCAAATCCGACTCAATATATTGTCAAATCATTTCCAAATAGCTTTATGTTTCGACCTATCTATCCAAATGAAGTATACGAATTGATTACGATTATTGTCTCGGTACCCCGCAAAGATGCATTAAGCTGGCTCGTGACCATATATACAATGCGCTTACAGAAATCTTCAATAATTCTATTATCCAAGGTGTTGTTCCCAATATTTTGAAAATCTCGAGAGTAACTCCCGTCGATAAAGGAGGGGACAAGCTTCTAGCTACTAATTATCGGCCAATTTAAATCTTATCCGCATTTTCACAAATATTTGAAAAACTAGTATATAAACAACTCATCAATTATATTGAAAATTACAACATTTTGTTCGAGTTTCAGTTTGGTTTTCGGAAAAATCATTCCACCTCTCATGCTATAACTGAAATTGTAGACGGTCTTAAACAAGCAATCGATGATAATTTCTACACATGCGGTGTATTCCTTGACTTCTCTAAAGCTTTCGACACTATAAACCATAAAATATTATTAAAACAATTAGCAGCTTACGGTATCAGAGGACTACCACTTCAGTGGTTTACAAGTTATTTAACTGATAGACAACAGTATGTGGCTTTAGGGGGTTTTCAGTCATCTAAACAAACAATGACATGTGGGATTCCTCAGGGAAGCACACTTGGACCATTGTTGTTCCTAATATATATTAATGACTTGCCAAACTGCTCTAACAAATTAAAGTTTAGATTGTTTGCAGATGACACTAACATATTTGCCTCATCTAGAAATATCTTTGGCACAAAGGCCAACTGCCACGCATATTTGACAGTTTATTTCAATATACTAGTGACGTACGTACCTACAATACCAGATATTCATCTAAGCAAAACTTACACAAAAAACGTGTTAGAACAAACTATGGTAAACAAATGACTTCCTTTGCATTTATTGACCTCTGGAAAGAACTTCCTAAACAACTTAAACACCTAAATGTTTTTTGTTTTTCAAAATTGGTAAAAAAATATTTATTAAAAAAACAATTTGAGACAAATTAGAGCTATGTTAATTAATATGCGCTTTAATCTCATTTTATTTGGCTCTGTCAAACAAATTATCTTTCATCTCTAATTAAAATTTAAAATCAATAGGCTGGTAACTAACTAGAAAACCTCACGGTTAATTTAGTTACCAGGCCCAATACCCGTTAAACAGTGTGTTAACTATTTATATTTATTATTCTATTTATTATTTAAGAACTAATTTTTGATAACTGTATTTTTTTCAAAAAGGGCAAAATATATTTATTTATATTTATATTTTATATTGTAGGATTGAAAGAGAATTTGGCATAGTTTCTAATGTTTTTTTAAGTTTGTCAATTGAGAAATATTCAGAGCAGGGATTATTTAGCATATGATCAGGATCAGATTCGTCTGATTTATCAGGGTTTAAAAACAAATCGTGTAAATCAAAATTGTTATTTTTCCTTCCAGACCAGCTTCCAAACAATGCTCTAAATTATTTATCCGACAACGAGTAAAACGGAAAATTACTTACTGTGTTTGTTTCAATAGCCATCAATGGATAATATAGTAAACATTAAAGTGTTCAATTTTGAGTTATATTAATTCATGAATGTTAGTTTAAGTTCTTCCGTCAAGATAGTCGTCGAATTGCTCATGACTCACAAAACTTAGTGTAGGCGAGTCATCAGTTTCGTGTAGCATAATCTTTCCATTCACCGTCCATAAATACTTAAATTTGGATTCTTGTTTGATCTCGACGATGCGACCGAACAGACATTTCCTGTATGGTGTCAAAGACTCATTAATATGGATTCGCGTGTTCGACATCACCAATTGAAATATTGGGTTACCCGCGATTGATGGCAGATCTTTTGCGCGCTTTGATTTTAGCTTTTTCCTACTCACATATATTTCCTGTTTCTTTACTCGACGGTTGAATTTAACTATAAGTCGATCTTTGACTTTTCTCGTCGAAGGTAAACGATGCGCAATTGAAATGTCACTCTCAGCGAGATCCACTCCAATTACCTCAGACAATTCTTTAACGAGTTTCGTTGGGTTTTCCTTTACTGCCGCTGGTATGCCAGTGATCTCAAGGCAATCTCTTCTACCATACTGCTCAAGTTCATCTAGATGCAGCTCCAAGTTGTAGCCGTTGTCATTTAGTTTGTCAACTTTGCCTTCCATTTCCTTTGCTTGTCATTCGAGGCCGAGTGACGTTTTTTAACTTCACTTATTGTTGTCAAAATCAAGTCATATTTCTTTGACATGAACTCCTGAGATTTCTCTACTTCTTTGACTTTCCTATTGAGGCTTTTTAAGTTGGTCTTTAATGGTTCTATTTCTTTTCGCAATTCAGATTTCATTGCGTCAATCTTTTTGTTGACTTCACTTATACGATCTCGGATTTCGTTTTGGATACTTGGCAGGAACTTGTTCGACCATATTTCTCGGAGATTTTCAACGGTTAAACTCATATTTTAAATATAGTAGAAGATTGGATTTGAAAAAGACTTTAAATAAACAGATATTTGTGATATTTTGCGGAGTGATTATAATACGGTGTTAAGCTGCCATGCTGTTAATATGAGGATCTACATTAAAGTTCCTCTACATATTTCTTCTTTTCTTGTTGAAATAAATGGCAATCATGATGTATTATAGTATTAAACGTCGAGATTTTGTTAATAAAAACGTTTCAACAAAGGCAGCTTTTACATTTAAAACACCACACAGTAAACACGGAAGGAGGGACCATGTTTCGTCCATGCCAACTAACAAGTCCCCTGGAATAGATCAGATCTCGATGTGAGTCATTAAAGATAGTCTTCCCGCAATCTTACCAACAATCACTTCCATTATTAACACCTCACTTGTTTCAGGAATTTTTTCCCGCGATTGGAAAATGGCTGTTATCACAGCCATTCCAAAAAATGGCGACCACAAGCAAGTAAACAACAACAGACCCATCTCACTTTTTCCAATTTTATCTAAGGTATGCGAGAGGACGGTGCATAACCAAATGATTCCTTATTTAGATACAAAATAGTGCCTATCTACCCAAAGAGTAACAATAGGAGATTTCACTCGACAGAAACATCCTTGATCGAGACTGGATTCAATCTTGAATGCTATTGATGGAAAAGAGTTAACGGCCATTGTCCTGCTAGATATGGGTAAAGCTTTTGAAAGTATAGATCACATTATTGAAATTACAAGATGTCTGCATATTACCTGCTGCCCTAAACTGGTTCTTGAGCTATTTATCGGAAAGATTCTTCCAGGTTGCGTATCAATACCGTCCTATCCGACAAACTACCTGTGAACAGTGGTGTCCCACAAGACAGCATTCTTGGACTGATCCTCTTTAATATCTATGTTAACAATTCCTCAGAGCAGTTTATCCAAGATGTACGTTGATGATATCGAACAATGGATATCATCAATCCAACAATGTGCCTCAGCAATAACAGAGATGTATAAAGACCTGTGCAGGATTCGTGACTGGTGTTTTGACAACCACCTCCTTCTCAATGCATCCAAGACAAAAGCTTATGGTTTTTGGTAGTCACCAAATGATCTCGAAAGTTCCTGACTTCCGTCTGTCATTACTGGGTAAAGAACTTATTCCAGTCCAAACAGCGAAAGATCTCGGAGTTACATTTGATTCAAGCCTTTCCTTCAACTGTCATGTTAAGACTGTCTCTCCTTGCATGTCCAGCGTGCAGATTATACTGACCGGATCAAATTCTACCAAAGGCCCAATAACCATCCTGGGCGACTCCACAATCAAAATGCTCAATCCATCACGGTTACGATGCTCAATTGGCAGAAGAAAAAAAAAGAAAAAAAAAAAGACATTTCCTGGAGCATCGGTTACTGATATGAGGCATTAGGTGAAGCCTACTCTTGAAAAGAACTCCAAACTCATTGTACTACATCGGGACGAATGACATCCACCAGAAAGAACCAGAAGAAATTGTCAAGGAAATGGAATCTCTTTGTACAGGTATAGTAACAAACAGTTTAGACAAAGTTGCTATTTCTGAAATCATACAAAGAGAAGACGAATCAATGAACATAAAGATAAAAAACACAAATAATCTTTTAGCTAAGCTTTGTAGTAAATACAAGTGGGAAATTGTCCAGCATGGTAATATTAACATATCTAACCTTAATGCCTCTGGCTTACACCTGAATATAACAGGTACAGCAACACTAGCAAAGAACTATATCAACTTTCTAAAGCATTGACTAAGTCTTCCAAAGGTCAGTGACCTATAATACATCTACCATATTTGTAGCATAATTAATAATCCTAACAAAACAAATCTTGAAAATGTAAATCAAACTTGTATGGCAACCCCAAATATTGATACATTAAGCAATAACTCCTTCAAATAAGATGAATTAGTAGCAGAAACTGATTGGTCCAATTTAAAGTTTGCATATAACGTCTGCATGACGACAGCGAAATAGCAAACATTTCTTGATTTGATGATTCATGATTGATAAATTTCGTGCGAATATATTTCATTTTTACACACAATTTTGCAACATTTTGTAAATTTCAAAAGCTCTCTCAGAAAGAAACTTTGAAAGAATCGGCTAAAAGAAGGGAGCCGACGTTAACGAAGGTAAGTTTGTTTTAAATATTGATTTTACAA